GTTTTTAAATATAGGTACATATATAATAAATTAGACATTTTTTAAAAAAAGCTTGTTTGTAAGTATAATTTGAAATAGAGTTGCCACGTTCAATGAAAGTAATAATAATTACATGAGTTATTTAAAAGCTTATACCATAAAAAGAGAGTTTAAAATACACTTATTTTAGATATTAATAGCTCTTGACCTTGACTACGCTAGAATGKTAATTTTTTGAATATTATATAACGGTATAGTAACTCTTTGGTGACAATTCCATTCGACTCGAAAAAATTAAAAATATATTTTCTTATTAAAAAAATAAATTAAAGATTTTTTTGTTTGTAATTCAGTCAATTCAAGCCAAGAAAAAAACTACCGTTATATCACATATTACAAAACTTTTTAGCGCACCTCTCTTACTTCATATTTACGCAAATGGTATCATACATACAGAAACATAATTTGCTCTGTTGTGTCACCACGTATTGCCCAGCACGCAATTGCAATTGTGTTATGCCAACGCGCCGACCTTGACTTTTATCTCAATTGAAACCAAACGTGAGCTAACAAAATACTGTTGCTTTCGCATACATACAAAAAGTGGCTGATAGCATGAACAAGTGGACATAAATACAATTGCACATACACACACATATACATATATGTTCGTTTAAATTATTTTGTGTACAAACAAAAGCTGGAGTGCGTAGTATGGAGGCTCACTATCTTAGCGACAGTGGCAACAGCAGCGGCAYTGGTCATTGAACTGCAGCGCTGCTGGGCAGTGAACGACGCTTGCGTGTGTACATGCCATGTATGTATATAAGTAGAGTGCAACGCTGTGCTCCCTATTGGATAAACAATCTCGCCTATGTGTGTGTGCAAGTGCACTCAAATGTATTGACTAGCTGCCAAGTTGACGGACAAGCATGCTGATTGCGTATTATACGTGCGTTAACGTTCACTTGCTGCAACATGTATACACACGTGCAAGGCATTAGGGTGGGTGGGTTTTTCTATAACTTTTATAAGGATTTTTATAAAAGCAACAAAACCAGTGAATCAACTATTTTTTTAAGGCTTAGACATTATTTTTTGTTTTAATTTAACGGTGTGTCAAATTTTAAAATAATTTAAAACAAAAAATTTAGTATTCATTAATTAAAAAAATAGCCAATAGGGAGAGGCTAGCCTAACTGAAAGCAAACACCTGATATTTTGCCATCGATCGTGGGCCAAAAAGCATTTGCGACAGCGCATGTACGGACCACTCTAATACTCTACAAAATTACTTCTACATATACTCATCCATCCATATTTGTTTACTCATATATAGGTTTGCATGGCATACAACAATGAATTGATAACAATTTCAATYAATAAGCTGCTCCTCCGCCACATTTATTTTATTGTGGCAAAAGATGAGAAATACTTTATGAATCGCATATGTGGTCATGTTCGCGCATGTGAAGTATGTATGTATGTACATGTGTATATGTGCACATCTTACGACATTTATCAGTACGCAATCTACTACGCCATATTCCGTTTTGTTATTAATTTTTAAATTATTGGTCACTTCATTTCAAACCATTGCGCAATGTTGGGATGAGTTTCGAGTATTCTTTTATACGTTCATTAATTAAAACGTGCGCGCTATTTTCAAATGATATATATATCTATGTATGTAAATGTATTGGTAAATATAGGCTTTTGTATTAATACATATATGTTGCTCGGAAGAGTCTGTAGGCTCGGTGCGCAACAGATGTGCGTCTATAAAATAGTTAAACGTCAATCGTTTGACCCAGATATAACGAAAATTGTAAAAAGGGTTGCCACCTGTTTGAATTTGTAAAACTACGCCCAATGTGCAAATATAAAATATAAGTGAAATATRGTAACTGACAGCGAATTTGAAAGAGTTTTATTATAAAACAATATTTCTTTTGGGTTGCCACTTGAATTTAAATACATAATTGTTGTTGCACGAAACAATTTTAAGTAAATACTTTGCACTTCGTTATGGATATAACAATTCGAAATGTATAATTATGTGTGGGCTTTAATTGTAAGTCGAATAAGTTGAATAGTGTTACCACCCTTTTTGAAAAAAATTATATTATAAACCCACACTTTTACTTTTTATTATTAATAATTAATTTTTTCATTGTGGAATAGTTTTGCCACACTTTAAAAAAATGTTAAACATTTTTTTTTATGAAACACMCTTTTCAAATAAAAAGTTATAATTTTTACCATCTTTAATTTTAGAATAGTGTTTCCACTCTTAAAAAAAAGAAATAAAATTGTGAAAAAATAAATTTTAATATTTAAAAAATTATAAAAAAAAACATTTTATATTTTTGTTTTCTGTTTTTATATTTTTTTTAATATCCTAGTAACAAAAAACTAAATAAATTTTTTTCTCCACTTACAGTTTCTACATTGTTTTTAAATCGTCACACTGGCTTCACCAAATAATACAGCACCGCCAGTGCTCTGGCGCGCGCGTCGCAAAATTGGTAAGTCTCAAAGAAATTTGAAAAATTTTAGTAAATTATATTACGGTAATTCAAAAATGATTTTTTTACACATAAAATTGAATGGACAGAAATTCAAGCTACTTCTTGCGATTTATGAAGACCTTTAGACGAGGCGGTGTTTTAGGTTGACTCGGCGGCTCKGGGCGCGTGCTCGGATCAGGTGTCTCGGCTTCCAGACGCTTAATATCRTCGCTCATTTTAGCCAAAATCTCCTCTAAAGCCGTTATATGTTTAGTCAAACTAAAAAATTAAAAGAAGATTAGTTAGACACTTAAAATAGCAAAAAGAAAAACGTACTTGTCTATTTGCTCGGCGTCACGTTTGTTCTGTATGGTCTCAAAGTAGCTAYAGAAGAGAAGGTGGAATAAAAATCATTTCTAATATTTCGAAAAAAATTATATTGAATAGTCATTAAAATTACTTCTGAATTATCTCATTCTTAGGCACGCGCATTTTCTGCTCTGGCCTTGGCGTAGGTGGAAAAGGTGGCTCGTTCTCGTCATTCATTTCGCGTAACGGTTCTGTGTCTCGTTTTGTATTCCTACGTTTGCACAAGCCTATTGCATTGAGCGCCTTCTTACCGCCATCTTTGCCCTTATCCCAGTATTTTTTAAAGAACTGCGGCAATTGTTTCTTCTCCGGTGGTATTTCATATGTTTTTATGTTCCGGAAGGTGTCGTAAATGATGGCCAGAAACATATTCTGAGAGAGAGTATGATCTTTTATAAAAGTGTTTTTTTTTTTTTAATATTAGTAATAAGCAGTTGCTTACAATAAGTATGAAATACACGATGAGTATGAAGGAGAAAAAGTATATTGGTCCCAGCACAGGATTTGCATGTTCCACGCCAACATAATCAAAATCAGCCAATACCATACGCATAACACTCCAAAATGCGATGGGAAATACGAAAAAGTCCTCGTGCGCATGGCCGAACAGTAACATGCCGAGCATGGCGTATGAAAGAAAGATTATCAGAAATATGAGCACGAAGTTGAGCAGATCTCTATAGCACTGGAAGTGAAGGTGAGGAAAATTTTTGAATTAGTTGGTATTAGCATACTTTTAGGGAAAGGTGTATAAGTAAATTTGGAATTAGCGAAGACACACTCCTCGCGTATTGAGAGCACGAAATTGAAACGATCTCTACGATCTGTATAGCACTGTAGGGAAGTTTTCGGAAGCAAAATTTTGAATAAATTGGTTTTTAGTAAACTTTTAGGCGATATGTGTATTAGAAATCTTGTGATTAGCGAAGACACACTCCCCTCTTATTTTYATTCTTACTTTTACGAATGTCGCATTTAATTGTATCGATGTTTTGTTGAAGGTGAAAAACTGAAATATCTTAATCCAAACTAAAAACGCCAGCACCGCTACTAAATTCATATAATGGGAGTTTAACCAACAAATCACATCCAAGCTATGATATTCAGTTGGYAATGCGTTGGCATGCTTCAAATAATAATGTAGATAAATTGGATGGAAAATATTATAGCTGAAGGAAAGTGTAACGAGCTGGAGAAGASAAAATTATTAAATAATTAATAATAATTTAGTTTAAGCTAATCTAATGAATATGCTTTTTTGACTTACAATCAGTATAACTAAATCGACAATGTTCCAAAAGTTTTTCAAATATTTTTTGTAGCCACTCCGACGGCATACCAACATTTCTCCAATACAATAATATATAGCCATTATATAGAAAATGATAGCTGAGAGTATGATCCATACGCTGCCTGTCCAGACAGCATGTTTTTGCACCGCCTGAACTTGTATATATAACAAAACGCCACCAGTGACCGGAACTTCGCCCAGAATTCTGAAAATATGGTACAGACTTACAATAATTGTTCGGAAAGGTTATAAAAGTAGTCTGCAGTTTCGCCCTAAATACTTTAATGTATCCTTTAAAGTTAATGAATTATTTATGTTGGCATAGGTGATATTTTTAAAAAATTTGTTGCCTATATTTAGGGTGTTAATCAGTTTTATTTATAAGAGCGATTACAAATCGAAAGAAAACAATTTGTTGCCTACATTTAGGGAGTTAAGCAGTCTTCCTTTTAAGCTTAATTATTAGTTAAAAGAAAAAAAAAAAAGGTTTCACTCACTTGGCATTATTGAAGAGATCCGTATTTTTATTATAGAGCGTTAATTCGAAAATCATAAGGCGTGTGCCGCGATCCAACCAGTCAAGCTGTGCCAGTGATTCAATCAAAGGCAAAGATTCATTAAAATTTCGATCCAAATTCTGCACGAAACCCCCACCCCAATATGTGTGTATTCGTCCTTGGATCGGCATCGCGCTCAAATGGTATGCAGACTCATACTTCGCGCTGGAAGTTTCAAAATGTGTTTCACAAGAGAAAATTATTTTAAAGATTTTAAATAAAGAGACACTCAAAGATTCACCCTATATGTTCACCAGTGGTTTTCATATCTGAATACGAATAATCTGGATAACAAATGAAATGAAAATGTTTCGCGAAACTCTTGCTGCCACCGCAAGTTGTCTCCTCGACGCGTAGCTGACGTAGGCGTGGTGTTCCCAACAGAATACTCTCATCAAATTTTATAACTTTATGTGCAGCAGAAGCTGTGCTGGCATTGACGCCTGGATTACTCGAACTATTCGCATTTTCGGTAGMGACACTTTCGTTGCTCGCTTGTGGCGGTAGCAACACCTCCGGCAAAAATGAATCTGCTAGTTCCGACCACCATTCATTGTAGGTGACGAGTCGTTCATAGATCAAAAAGTGCCGTTTAATAGCGTGATTGAAGTAGTACATGTAGTGGTGGCGCGCAGAAACGGCAACTGCGAATGTTAGAGGGGAGACATAAATAATTATTTCTTAGAAATATTTTGTTTACTCACCCACAGTGGTCATTACTATGAAGACACAGTAAAGGCATACGGCCCTTAGCGCTCGTTTGATATTTGTTTCACTATCATATTTAACGCGTGTTTCGAAATTCATTKTTTTTATGCAACGAAGCACAATTATTGATTCGCACGTTAGACGAAAACGAAAATGATAGTTAATAAATTTTCAAATGTCAAATTTAAAGAGTGCTGCAATGTTGAGAAAATTATAAATTGAAATTTTTGAAGCAAAAATTAAAAACGAATTTTTGTTATCTGTTCTCAAAAAAAAAAGCGCTGAGTTAGAACATTATTCAAAACTGTAATAATAAAATTTTTTCAACACGAAACGAATCACTATATTGGATAGAGTTAATAGCATTTAGTAGAAAAAAAATTGTAGGTAATGCTTTCTTTTATAAATCCTAGTAGTAAAAAGCATAGTTTTCATAACCTAAAAACGTCGTAGAAACCTTTTTAAAATTGGCTGGAGCTTAAAAAATTTATAAGTTTCTTCAATACATTATCGATAGTGAGATCTTGGAGTCTGTTAAAATCCACGTTAAGCGCAGGCATCGTAATAGGTTACCTCTCCTCATGGACCTACTAATTTTATCCCATCTGATATCGCAAAGGACCAAAACTGGTCTATGGCTCATTTGTTTACATGACTAACTTAACACAACCAATACATTTTAACAACAATATTTTAATATACACTGTATTTTTTAAATTTGAGGAGAGTTGCCACATTTAATTATTTTCGGAAAAAAATTTTCTTAAATACATAGGTACTTGATGAAACAGTTATAAAAATTTAAGTGGCTTAAAATTTTCTTCAAAAGTGTTTTTAAACTTTTGAAAGTATTTAGAAATATCTATTTCTATATTAGCTATTTAATTCTTTTATTTTACAATATTTTAAACGTATTTATTTGAGTACTTATATGGTAGAAACTTTTAACCTTATCAGCATTGGGATTTACATATTTAAAATAGGTGGCAACTCTTTTTAMAAATATTTTGAAAGCTAAAATTTTKTAAACCCGCGGAACTTAGTTTCAATGTTATATTTAAGTCTTTAAAAAATTTCAATTTATTGAGCAAAAAAATGGAAACAGTTGGCAACTCTTATTAATAAATTTCTTTCAATTACTATTTTGAAGTTCTTTAGCTTGGCAAGATTATAGTATTAATTTCTATTTGATTAACTKTTTTTTACTAAATATTTTGAACAGGGTTGCCACTCTTTTTATATTCCACATCAACCAAATATTATATCAGGTTACAAAAACGAATATTCAATACAGTTTACCATTCAATATTAGTGCATTATGTAAGGTATGCGTGACGAATTTAAGTTGCGTAACACAATTTCGTTGCAGTAGCATGATTTTTCTAACAAAATCTTTTTCTCATTTTCAATTCATTAATTCAAGAAAGTCACTAATTGACCAGTGGTGTTACTGAAATTTATATTTAATGGAAAAAATATTTAATTATAATGTATTTTTATATAAATAAATTTTATCAGCATATTTCAAAATAACAATGTTTCCATGGCCACAGCTGTTTATTCAAAAACAAATTTCCTGAAAATAAAACACCTTAAATGACACGCAAAGCAAACATATTTTGTTAGTTTAACAACTCTTAACACAACAATTCGGTCGCATGTCGGACAAAAAGCGGTTGCATTAATCATAATGAGGTAAATAAATAAATGTCTGATTTCAAGCGCACGCTACCAAAGACGCACTCACTTCTGTACATAATCAAGTAGTAATACTAACACACAAACATATGCCAAAAAGTAAAAAAAGAAAAGATTTKGATTTGGACATTTAAAGATAAACATTTTCAACTCATAAAAATAAAAAAAATATATATTTTCKATTTAATTTTTCTCCTACTACAAAATAATATTTATAAACAACTTTCGTCTAGCGCAAAAAATCACGTTTGCTTACTCTCAACACAAAAGTAAACACACACAAACACATAAGCACAAATTTTTGATGGTCATTTCCGCTTGCTGCATTCTAAAGGCTGACAGCACACTACGTTTCCGCTTCACTTTTAGCTTTAGCAAATTTTTTGCGCTCTCTCTTTTCATCAACTCTTTTAACCTGCCGCTTGTTGCCATGACTACTTCGTGCTTTTTGCCGGCTTTTCAAATCATTTGTATACGTTACTTACAGAAAAATTGYCGCCAAAAGCTTTTATTTCTCACTCAAATGCGCAAAATGCGAGTGAAAGCTCTAAAAGTTGATTCTAGGCGGATATATCTAAAATTTGAGTGCAGCTTAACAACAACAAGCGGCGTTGCCACAATGTTATTGCAAGCTTTTTTCGCACGCACACATTTATACATGCTAGACATGCAAATCTACAAGCATACATATGTATGTTAACGCTGGTCTTTGTAGTCTATGATGTGTTTGGCTTGTTGGCACTTTTGCTAGCAGCTGCTGAAACGTGACTGTTGCGTGCTATATAGAACTTTACAACAATAGAAATTAAATTACGCTGAAATTRAGTAACTACAAAATGGTGGATGGTGGTGACTGGTCTATAAACAATTATGGTTTAAAATTATGTTATATATAGTGAGAGATCTATTTTTAGAAGTAGAAACAGTTCAAACGTTTATAGCAAGTTTGAGCTTTTGGTAGAAAACTATTTTTTTTTTTTTCGAAACGTGCGTCAGTTTCATTTGTCAATTAAAGATGAGGTATATTTGCGTAGAAATACCCTAGAACTTTGAGGGTTAGCACTGACTGCCATTCACAGTGTAACAGATAATAGGTGTATCTTTGACCGACCATCTGATTGTATTTGGGTCTAGGTGGTTACGGTCGTACAAAATTCTTCAGATTTTATGGATAGAAACTCGTCGAATCGCTTTTTGTATCACCAAAATACTTTTGCCGTACTTGAAATGCTCACTTAAGAACAGAGTCAAATTCTGAGTTGTTTGCTTTCTGGACATACTGAATTTTATATATATTTTTTATGTCTGAGCGTATTTCAGGTTAGATGGCTTATTCCTCAAGATGGTGGAAGGGCTTATACCTCGATGTAGTGCTTTTTAAAGAATTTTAGAATTCAAGTTTTTGAGTTCAGTTTTCTAGAATATATATAAATATATATCAATTTTCGCTTGATATCAGTTATTTTAAGCTATTTGGATATTAGCCGGCCAACACAATTTTTTCTACCCTCAGATTTACCAATTGGAACATCGAACGAAGTACAACCATTTTAAAATAGACTAAACTTGTCAACTTTCTATTATCTCCTTCTCAACTCTTAAAGCTTTTTACTAAGCTTTTGAAAAGCTTTTACTTGAAATACTTGAATATTTCATAATATTTTAGTTTTGAGTATTCTGTTCATATTTTTCTACTTCAATCACCTTTAGCGCAGTGTGCCCGAGCATATTATGATTCATCCAAGAAACTATTAAGAGGAGACTATTATGTATTCATATTATATAGTWTAAAGCGTAATAATGTCGTCAATAGAGGGTGCTATGTTTCACAATTATGATAATTGTTGATTTAACAACAAATACAATATTTTAAAGACGGGAGTACGGAGGTCTTCGGAGAATATGTGCAATATTCATTTATATATTCATAGCGATTTTCAAATATAAAGTGCTGAACCCCCCTGTTTACGAATGGCGGAACACATTGACTGTCTTGTCTCAATTTATTGAAGTGTATATTGTCTATTTTTTAAATAATTTTCCAAAAGAACACACAGTTATATTTGCTGCGCTATTGGCAACGCTGCCAGAAATATATCATRCATGTGACATATAAACCATTCTTAAAACAAAAAATAAATATRAAAACAAAAACTCAAACCACACAAGGGAAAAGAATACGTAAAGACAAAAAAAGAAAACAAAATCAAAAACAGAAAAAATAAAATAAAAGAACAAACACACAGCACCGAAGTTCATTAAACGCCGACACAACGGCCAAGCAGCTGGCTGCCCAGCGCCACACACATTCACATACAAACACAACCAAAGGTTACCAAAGAATAAAAGTGTGAAACAAAGAAGTAAATATAATGAGCTAACCGATAAAAGAAGTGTATAGTGCAAAAAGAAGTAGCAAACAAAAGATAAATAAACGGAAACCAGACGGCAGGCAAGCACACTTCATGGCAGTGCGGCGAACTCGACAGCCCATGACGCGCTCAAACTGTTGCATAGAGCCGGCTGGAGAGTTGAGGCACACGAATGAGTGTGAGTGCGAGCGATTGAGATCACAAACGGAGTGCATTCCAAGCGGCCACTCAAAAACACGGCGCGTGTATCTGTGAGGTACTTGGCGGTGCATGTGTGCGTCGGGTGACTCAGCGAGCGCGGTGTGCGGCTGCACTTCTGCAGATAACGCGGCGAATTGCCAATGTTCAGTATTTTTTGTTGCTTTTTTTGGGTTGCTGCTCGARCGTGTTTGTATGTAAAGTGGTGGTTGAATGGCATACAAAATGTATAGAAGTAAAGGAGGAGGCATGCCTGTAAAGTGCTAGATACATTCGCCGCGACCAAGCAGATAGCGCTGCCATACAAATTGCAGTTGTRTGCGTGTATGTGTGCCGTTGACTTTTTCGGCAGCATTTCATACTCGGCTCTTCGTGCCCATCATGTGTGTGCTATGTGCGCGCTTGTGTGTGTGCATGTCGCTGGTTTTGTTGTTATTGGGCATTTGTTGTTGTTGTTGTGCGCTGTTTCATATTGGGCACTGGTCGGCTGGTCGGCCGGCGATGCTCAGCGATTTCAGTATCGCAGAGATATTCGACGTGAACGGTTCGGTGGCGACGATTTGCTGCGACACAACWGAATTGCTTAGATMCGAAGCGTAGCGAAAAGCGGCGCCGCGTGTGAAGTGAAGTGTACAGTGAATGATAGCAACATTTAGCAAACATTAGATAGCTACAACAGCTAGTAAATATATATGWATATGCATATAATTTAATCATATATGTATTAAAGCAGTGATAGTGTGACAATAGTCAACGGAAGCCCGTGAAATATATACATATGTGSTTATATAAATAATATTAAATATCAGCGTGTTCATGTAAAATWTGAAAATATGTGAATGTATGTATCTGTGTTAAAAAAAGTAAATAGCCATGCGTATAAGCAAGTGGCGATCAAAGAAATTCCAAAGTACGATTTTTCATAATTTAATTCACAGCTAAACTAAAGTCTTCTACATATRCATACCTATGTACATATACGTATGTAAATGCTTCTGGCGTTTCGTGCGCATGTAAGTGCATGTGAGTGTGCACGTGCGCGTACCGCTACCGTAAACAGCGGTGATCAGCGATCAGCAGCAGCATCGTGAGTGTTTGTAAATATCGCTTATGTACATACCTGTGTTTGTATGTGTGTAGATATGACGTGCGTTTGTGTATATTTGACTTCAGCGCAAAAGTGAGGCGAAAGAACTTGAGAAGAGCGAGAGAATTAAACATTTGAAATTCAAAAGTTTCAAAGATAAAATATTGCCGCGTAACGAAAAATAAGTAGGATATCCGTAAATATGAAAATTTAAATTCCTATACAAAAAAATCCATAAACAAAAGATAACAGAGGTTGAACTTTGCGGCGTCAGTTGCTTAGACTGAAAGTGTTTAAATTCCTATAAAATATTATTGTTTTTGTAACGAAGTGTTTTTCTTGTACAAAAAGTTAATTTTATTGTACAACAAGTGTCTCCAAAAATATATATTAAGCTAGAAACACAGTTTGTAATGTCAAAATATAATCTTTTTTAAATATTAGCCAATTAAAATTCTGAAATTCTGTAAACCAGTTCTTGTAAACGGGTTAAAAGCAAAAAGTCACAAATGGGAAAAAATAAAAACGRAAATATACATATATATTTATATATGTTGTAAATGTGTGCAAAAGTGCAACAGCGCGGCCGTATTGGCATTACGAAAGTGAGTGAAAATGGCGAAGAACAGAATAAACGGAAACCATATGATCGCTGTGACATGATTAAATGAAGATACAGTATAAAATCCGTATAAAAATTAAATTAATTTAAAAAGTA